AACAGACATTTTTCCAAAGAAGATATACAGATGGCCAACAGGCACATGAAAAGATGTTCAATATCACTAATCATCAAGGAAATGCAAATCAAAACTACACTTAGATATCACCTTATACCCAGTAGAATGACTATAGTCACTAAGACTAAAAATAACAAATGTTGGAGAGGATGTGGAGAAGAGGGAACCCTCATACACTGCTGGTGGAAATGCAAACTGGTACAGCTGCTATGGAAAACAGTATGGAGATTTCTCAAAAAACTAAAAGTAGAAATACCCTATGATCCAGCTATCCCACTATTGGGTATTGATCCAAACAACAGGAAATCAACAATCCAAAGTGACTTATGTACCTCTATGTTCATTGAAGCATTATTCACAATAGCCAAGACATGGAAGCAACTTAGTGCCCTTTGACCGATGACTGGATAAACATGTGGCATATACAGAGAATGGAATACTATTCAGCCATAAAAAAGACAAAACCATCCCATTCTCAATAACCTGGATGGACCTGGAGGGTATTATATTAAGCAAGATAAGCCAGCCTGAGAAAAACAAATACCATATAATTTCACTCATATGTGGAAGATAAACAAAAATGGACAAAGAGAACAGTTTCAGGGGAAGGGGGCTGGGGAGTGGGCACAGGAGGTGAAGGGGAGCACATATACGGTGATGGACAAGTACCAATGTACAACTGAAATTTCACAATGATGTAAACTATTATAAACTCAATTTTTAAAAAAAGGGAAAATATGTAAATGGATTAAGTACTCCAATTAAAACGCAGACATTATCAGGTTGGATTTAAAAATCAAGATCCAATTAAATGCTACTTACAGGAGATGTACTTTACATTTAAGTACACTTATGGGTTGAAAGTAAAGGGATGGAGAAAAATGTGCCATGGAAACATTAATCATAAGAAAGCTGGAGTGGCAATATTAATATCAGGCAAAATAGACTTCAAGACAAGGAGTATGAATAGAGATAAAGATGGACATTTTAATGATAAAAGGGTCAAATGATCAATAAGGCATAACCATTATAAATGTGCATGCACCTAGTAACAAAATTTGAAAATACTCTAAACAAAAACTACAGAACTAAAGGGAGATATAGACGAATCCATAATCATGTTTTAAGAGTTTAATATTCATCTCAGCAATTGCTAGAACAAGAAGGCAAAAAGTCAGTAAAGACACAGAGCTTTCAACAGCACTATTCAGCAACTTTATCTAATTGACGTTAATACAACAGCACCTAACAAACACAGGAGACATGTTCTTTTAATGTGGAAATCATCATTCTAGAGAAAATCTTGCACATGTTGATTTTTTGTAATAATGAAACACTTGAATAAAACTGGAGAATTGATAAATTGTAACTTTTATACAAAGAAAAATCACACAGCAGCTAAATAATCAGAGCTAATTTCATCCATATGGGTTAATATGGATAAATCTAAAAAAATCTAATAGTAAAAGAAGCAAGTTGCAGAATAAATACAATATGATACGACTTTATTAAGTCTTAAAATATACAAAACAATGCTGTATATTATATTAGTTAGGGATAATATTTGCTTAGTGAAAATAGAACATTAACTGTTGAGAATGACGTGTTGCCACTTCAGAACAGTGGTTACCTCAGAGGAGAAGGGGAGGGAAATGAGATCAGGCATTCAAATGTGTTTAGTAATATTATATTTATTTATTTATTATTTTATTTATTTATTTTTTGGTGAGGAGGATTGGCCCTCAGCTAACATCCATTGCTAATCTTCCTCTTTTTCCTTGAGGAAAATTGTCCTTGAACTAACATCTGTGCCAGTCTTTCTCTATTTTGTATGTGGGACACCTCCACAGCATGGCTTGATGAGTGGTGTGTAGGTCTGCACTGGGGATCCAAATCCATGAACCCTGGGCTGCAGGAGCCGAGCATGCGAACTTAAACACTACATCACTGGGCCAGACCAGTAATATTATATTTTTTAAGAAAAAAAGAACTAATGAAAAAATGACTTTTTTGCCATTACTTAAAATATTGACAATCTAGACTAGCTTAGTGATCAACAGTAAGAGAAGCCAACATTCCACCTATACCCAGGTTCCTGAAATCTTCTGGGGCAAACCACAGCACTAGGCAGGGTGGTGTCCCCAAAATTGATGATTTCCATCTTCTGTTGGGGTCTTAGTGCCCTTCCTTCAGTCTCAGAGGGTGAGATGGCCCTCTCCCTATGCAACACGTCTATCTCTACACATAACCTCGATCTCCCACTCCCAGCTCCAGGATCCTATTCCATCAATCATTGCCTCCCTCCCACGCTTGTTCAATCTTTTGGTCTCTATAGCCTATAAATATGCTCAGATCTCTGTCACTTTAAAAACAAACAAACAAACAAACTGACCTTGGTCGTTTGATGCTGTCATCTTTCTTTTTGTCTGCAACTAAGTTCTCCAAAAGGGAAGTCTAATTACCTCCATCTGTTTCCTCAACTGGCTACAATCTGGCCCTGACACCTATCACTCCCCTGAAACTGCTAGGCTGAGCTCACCAATGATCTAATTTCCAAACCAGAGGTTACTATGCAGTCCTTATCTCACCTGCCTCTCTGTAGGTATCTCTTTTTGAAATTTTCAACCCTTGGACTTCTTTTTTTTTTTAAATTTATTTTATTGAGGTCACAATGATTTATAACATTATATAAATTTCAGGTGTACATCATTCTATTTGACTTCTGTATAGAATATATTGCATCCACCACCAAAAATCTAGTTGCCATCCATCATCATATACATGTGCCCCTTTACCCCTTTTGTCCTTCCCCCACCCCTCCCCATCTGGTAACCACAAATCTGTTCTCCACATCAATGTGTTTGTTTGTTTGTTTACCTTCCACATGTGAGTGAAATTGTATGGTTTTCATCTTTCTCCATCTGACTCATTTTGCTTAGTATAATACCCTCGAGGTCCAGCCACGTTACCTGGAATGGCACAATCTCATCTTTTTAATGGCTGAGTAGTATTCCATTGTTATATATATATATATATATATATATATATATACACCACATCTTCTTTATCCATTCATCTGTTGATGGGCAGTTAGGTTGTTTCCAAGTCTTGGCTATTGTGAATAATGCTGCAACGAACATAGTGGTGCATCTTTGGTATTTATCCAAAGTACATGAAAACACTAATTCAAAATGACATATGCACCCCTGGACTTCTAAGACCCACATCTTTCTCGTTTAATTTGGGCCTCTCTTCTTCAGGCTTCTTCCTTGGCTTCCCTTCTCACTGCCCACCCTCTTCACCTCGGTGATTATTCTAACTAAGCTTATCTACCTTCCAGGCTCTTCTTCTACCTACGTGCTGATAAACTCCTAAATCTCTGTCTCTAGCAGGACCGCTTCCAGAACTCTAGACCGACATATCCAGTTGACAAATATGTGGTCCTCTCCACCTGGACATGCCACAGTATCTCAAATTCAGCATATCCAAAATGAACTCTTTATCTCTTCTGCAGTGCTATCTCCTCTTGCTCCCTATCCCCAGTCCTTATCTTAGTCAATGCATCTATTGCTAGCCTAGTTACCCAGCAGAGACCTTCAGTTAGATCTTTCCACTTCCTCATGCCTCAAATCTCAACAGACATTAAGTTCCGTTGCTGCTGCTGCTGTTGTTGAGGGCCAGCTCAGCTCTCACTGTGCTATTGCCTGGAAATCTTCTACCTCCACACTTTTCCTCAAACCATCCATTCTCCTCCCCACTGCTAGAGTTGTTTTTCTAAAATGTGAAGTTTGATAAGTTCCCTCCCTTGCTTCAAATCCCTCAGTGACTTCTCTCTGTCCACGCCACAAAGTCCAAGTTCCTCAGCATGTCTCACAGAATCCTTTATAATCTCGTCCCTGCTCACTCATTCAGACTTACCTCTAGTCTCTCCTCTGCTACACTACCACAGTGATTGAAGAAGTTAAAGTTGAAACACCTCTAAGATACCAATGCACATCTATTAAACTGTTAAAATAAGTGAAAAAAATTAAAAACCACTATTTAATAGCACCAAACTGAAAACTACCCAAATGTCCATCAAATGAAGATTGGATAAAGAAATTGTGGCATGCTCATTTAACGGAATAATATTCATCCATTAGAAAAGAATGAGCCACCACCATACACAACAACAACATGGATAAACTTCACAGATAGAATGATGAGGGCAAAAAGGTAGACACACAAGAGTACGACTGTATGATTCCATTTATACAAAGTTCAAGATTAAACAAAACTAATCTAGGGGGGTGGAAATCTGAATAGCGGTCACTTCTGGGGGTGGTATTGACTGGGAAGGGGACAAGAGAAACGTGTGGGGAGCTGGAAGCGTTCTGAATCTTCACCTGGGGGTGACTACACGGAATCTGTCTAGCTGTCTCTCTCTCTATCTCTTTCTTTCTCTCTCTGTCTATAAATATTAATAGATATATAGTTAAGACTTGCATACTTTGCTATATATATGTTACACTTTAATTTAAAAATTGCTAAATATTTAGAACATTTGCTAAATGAGTATGGGGAGATAAGTATACTGCTGGCTTCACTGTAAATTGATAATCTTTTGGAAAGCAGTCGGGCAATATGTAACGAGAGTTAACACTTGACATTCTTTCACGCACTGATTCCGTTTTTGGTGAGAAAATTCCCTAGGAAAATAACAGGGAAAAATTTTAGAAACCACTTGTGCAAAGAGGTTTTGAACAATATTGTACACAAAAATGAAAAATTTTTCACAAACCAAATGTCCAGTTATTGGGAAAAGTTTAAGTAAACTATGGTAAAGTAATGCAATAGAACTACATATAGTCATTTTAAACCGTTAACTTGCAATTTATCCAAATACGTGACAAATTATATCCAAGATAATAATAATTCCAAAATTAGAATGCAAATTTCATGTACCCAGTTATATCAGAAATCTACTATTTTTTTTATTTTTGACAGTAAGTAGGATTTATTGATGGGCATGAGTAAGAAGAGGGCAGTGCCGAGGCTCTCATGAGTGCAGGGCTCGCCATTTGTCCAGGGGGCCACGATTAGTGATGTATTTAACTCCACAGCCATCTGGGATGAGCCGCTTGTGAGCCAGCATGTCTTCAAATCCATCTGCATTAAACTTAGTAAAGCCCCACGTGTTGGAGATGTGGATCTTCTGGCGGCCGGGGAACTTGAACCCGGCCCTGCATAGGGCTTCAATCATATGCTCCTTGTTCTGCAGCTTGGTGCAGATGGACATGATGACTTGGCCAATGTGGACCCTAGCCACTGTGCCCTGGGGCTTTACAAAGGCACCTCGCATACCGGTTTGGAGCCTACACTGGGCATGGCATCTGACACGAAATGTCTACTGGAAAAGGCTGTCTCCAAGGTCCCTTAGGGCAACCCATACAAGCAACAGGCTGCATACACTACCAAGGAGGCTGCTGTTTGCAGCCACTGCACATCTGGCCTCCATGGGGAAAAGGACATGGTCGGCTTAATTGGCTGCAGACAGCAATCTATTATGCATGCAAACTACCTAAAACTTAGTGGCTTAAAACAACAATCATTTTATTTGCTCACAGTTCTGTGGGTTAACAATTTGGGCTGGGTGCAGCTGCATAGTGTTGTGGCTGGCCCAGCCTGGGGTCACTCATGTGATTGCAGGCAGCTGACAGCTTGACTGGGGCTGGATGGTCTCAGATGGCGTCAATCACATGTCTGGAGTTTGGTGCGGGGTGAAGAGTACACCTTTCTCTCTCTACGTGGTCTCTCACAGCAAGGAAGCTAGGTCCAGCTTCTTCACATGATGGTGGCAGCATCACAAGAGGGAAAGAGCAGAAACTGCAATCTCTTGGTCAAAGCCAGTCACAAGGCCAGCAGAGATTCAAGAGGAGAGGCAATAGACTCCGTGTCTTGATGAGAGGAACATCTAGGTCACATTGCAAAGGGTGCTGTGAACAGGGATGAGTGGAATATGTGATCACAGCCAATCCCATAAGGAACTCATAAATCTTACATATGTACACTGATAAGGATTGAAGAAAGATCCAAAAAACTGTAGCAAGTTGTTTTATGTGTATGATTTTTCTTTTCTGTAAAATTGTTAGTAAAAAAAAGAAAAAAGCTAAGAAAATAAATTTACATTCCAAAGTATATTCACTTGACCACATTAAAAAGGAACACAGAAGACCATTTTGTGTACAAGCTGTGCTCATAAAAGATACCAGACCAGTCACTCTGGGATCTCAGATTCTATATTTAACGATGGAGCAGACATGGCAGGGACCAGTTTGGCTCTCCTGGAAGCTTCAAAGATTTTCCAAAAGATTTCCCAGTTTGTTATAGAAGAAAATACTGCATACCTGCTTATGAGCAAAGGTTTCTATTTCCCCTAGAATTCTTAGTAGTATTGCCCTATGTGACCAAAACAGGCCCCCCCACTCCCTCATTATTTTAAATTTTCTTCCATTCAATAACCATTTCCTCACATTATTATTTCTAAAAATTTCATATTTCACATCCATACTCATCTGATAGTCATTATTGTATTTCTTTTACCGTTTCGTTGTCCTTTCTTCTTGCCTAGATTGTTACCTAGGATTTCTTCTAGATATAAGGATGTACAGCTCCTAGAACTTAGTGTGACAAAAACTGAACTTATTTTCCCCCACAAGCTACTGCACTTTCTGCGTCCCTTGGTTAATGGCATCCTCATCATTCTAGGCACATCCAGACTAAAACTCTAGGGCCACCTTCATTCCTTCCCTCTCACTCTCCTGCTAGCATCTTGTTGGCCTCCTTAACAGCTGAGTTCATCATTCACCCCTGAAAATTCTCTTCTGGCTCCTTCCATTCTGATCCTCAGGGGACTCCAATTCAGGCCCTTGTTGACTCTTGCCTGATGGAGCTACCTCTCACCTCTCCATGATTCTTCTCTGTGCCTCATGCTGACACCTGTATTATCTTTTTCAAATAGAACTGTCCAGATAACTTGATGAGGAAATTAACTACCATTTGTCTTCTAGGTTGTAGACAAAAGGAGATCTCTATCTCCTCCCCTGCCCTTGAACTTTGGGTGCTAAAAGCTTGGACACCAAGTCTGAGCTCTTGGAGAGACAGGAGGAGCGGCTGAGGGTTGAGATTGAGGTGTATCCCGCAGTTTGGTGCAATGCTTTGTGGATCAAAATGTCATCTGCAGACCAGCAGCCCCAGCAGCACCTGGGAGTTTTCAGAAATGCAGAATCTCAAGTGCCACCCCAGCCCTACTGAGTCACAACCTGTATTTTAGCCATATATCCCCGTGGGATTTGTGTGCACACTAACATTTGGGAAGCATTCTAAGGGACACACTTTGTGCACTACTTTAATTCTGTTGGCCTCACTTCTTACTCCAGCAGTAGTTGCTGGCAGGGGTGGTCAGCCATGGCCAGCTCACCTACACATGCATATATTGTCTTGGCCTCTTTCACTCCCTATATCTCTCACTCTTGCTCTGGGTCAACTTCCTAAATAACTACCGCACCCAAGTCCTTGTTTCAGGTTCTACTTTCAGGAAAACCCAGGCTTAGATGATAAGAAAATCAAGGAGGGACTGAAGGAGCAAGGCCGAGTCACAGCTGGTGGTGACGTGGTGAAAGCCCAGGGCCTCTGCAATGAGCAGCAAGCTTTGGGGAAACACAGTGGAGACTCCCAGAGCTTAGCGTGGCAGAGAAGTGTATCCCACCCAGGGTTGCCGGCCCTCAAGGCAGGGCCAGCTTCATGGGTCTGAGATCTGTGCAGTCACCCCGAGTCCCACTTGCAGAAGGGCCTCACACTTGGTTTAAATACTCTGCTGTCTTCACCTCAAAATTCCTAATAATTTTTGACCAAGGGGCTCTGCATTTTCATTTCACAGTGGACTCTGCAAGTTATTTAGCCATGCTCCTCCGGGGTAGGAAGAAACAGCAAAGCTCGGGCCACAGGCTGAGAGATTTCTCTTTAGGACACCCGTAAGCTTCCAGAACTCTCATGTGATCCTAATGAAGTTGAGAGGCTGGGGAAAACACCTCCTCACGACCACCATCTCCAAAGCACCTGTTTTTTTGCCAACCCTGGCAAATGCGGGTTGAAGCAAACTTGATTGAATTTTGGAACACAAAAGAATGTAACATTTCTTGCACCTCAGGTGTCACACAGCGAATTCTTACCCCTTCCATGAAGATTTTACGATGTCAGTCTTATATTTAAAATTCCATGGTGGCTCTCCATTACCTAGAAACTAAGGTAGAAACTCTGTAGTAAAGCAGTCAAGGTTTTGTGTGATCTAATGCCACCCTAGTCCTGCTGCCCTCTGAATTCTCTCTTGGATCATAAATTCTAGTCCCAGGAGCAAGTTTTCCTTCCACCCCTGTCCCCAATACACCGACTCTGCATAGCCCACCACGGATACTGCTTTCTCGTGAGTATACAGAAAGTTGAAACATCTATACAAGTAAATAATATGTACTTAGTTTCCCTTTCTTGCACAAGAGTTTTCCTTCTTACAAAAATGTACAAGCATACTGGACTCACCGTTCTAGACTTCTTTTATTTATGTTGCTCCCTTGGCTTGGGATATTTTTCTGTACCATCTCCATCGCTAAGTCGAGCAGTCTTCAACACTCCTTGCAAACTCCTCTCCCCGGGGCGTTCCCAACTCCCGCTAGCTGCAGTTAAAGGCTTGGTTCCCAGAAATTAAACAGGTACTTTATAATTAAACTGTAATTAGCTGTTTAATATCTCAGACAGTGTCTTGTTTCTTATTTGACATAAAAGATGGAGCCTATATCTTAGGGAAAACCATAGGAAATTGCCGTTCTTTGACAGTTTTGACTTAAAAATGGCATTTCATATGGGTAATCTAAGAGATTTAATTTTAATTAGGACTTTTCTCTCACCTCTTTAGTTTCCTACAGGATTCTTTCTTTTCTTACCGAGAAGCATAGATAGCATTTAGTAAACTATATTCTTTTATTCCAACACTTCTCATCAATAATATTAACCTTGTATGAATCCAAGGCTTTCTAGGTTTATAATTGTTTTTTTGTTTTTTTATTTTCATATTACACATGGCTCTTTCTCAGGAGTAATGACCTTTCTTTTACTCTCTCCACCATCCTTATCACCAGCACAACCTGTACATGTTCTCATCCACTTTACTACCCACTCCTTTGATAAGCAAAGCATGAAGTCACTCAGACATTGTAGCCGATGTTGTTTCCAACTGTGTTTTTCCTGCCCTGCTTGCTAGTTTAGATGAGGTTATAACAACAGCAGTTGAAGCGTCACATGGATCATGTTCTCTAATTAATCAATCACCTCATAACTAATTCATATTAGGAAAACTCATGCTGAAGCCCTCCTCTTGTGGATGGACTTGCCATGCCCACCAGGGAGCACGACCTCAGACAGATCTGGGCCCACAGCCAAAAAATTCAGTGACCAAAAGGGAAGAAAAGAAGACCAGTCCAGTTAGAAAATGTTTGGATAAGGATTCTGATTGTTCTAGCTGGGGTCATATGCCCATCCCTGGATCAGTCACCATGGCCAGAGGGATAAAATAATATTATTGCCCACCACTATAACCAAGGACCAGGTTATTTATTTATTTATGTTTTTAAAGATTTTATTTTTCCTTTTTCTCCCCAAAGCCCCCCGTACATAGTTGTATATTTTTAGTTGTGGGTCCTTCTAGTTGTGGCATGTGGGATGCCACCTCAACATGGCTTGATGAGCAGTGCCATGTCCACGCCCAGGATCCCAACCTGTGAAACCCTGGGCCGCCAGAACAGATGGCATGAACTTAACCACTCAGCCATGGGGCCTGCCCCAAGGACCAGGTTATTAACAAGAGAAGCTGAGGAGGTTAGTGCAACCTGAATAGACAAGAACACTAATTACTACTCCATGTTGAACTGAAACAGATTCCGCTACCTGCACCTTCAGCCACTGGGTTTTGTTTTCCCTCTTGTCTTATATGAACTCTTGTCACATACTTGTTACACAAAATGTTTCAGCTCTTTTTCACAAGAAAACCTTCAAATATGTTAACAGCACATGTGTCCTCCATGTTTCTTCCCTTCTCCAGCCAGTGACCCCACTGCTGGTTCCCTCCTGAGTGTCTGGCCATTCCTTCTTTTTCCTTTCCTCTGGCCCTAGCCCTACCCCAAGATGTTTGCCTTCTGCGAGTTTTTACCTTGGCCCTTTTCTCTTCTTCACTATGTACATCCTCCCTGGGTCAATTAGCCATTGTCAATGGAAATAGTCAGTATATGTCAATTCTTTGACGTATATGGTAATCAATATGCCAGTCCATATGGCAATAGCCACAGTCAATAGCAATTAGCTGTGGCCCACTGCTCTGTCACTAGCACACCACACCAGCAGTTCCTATGCTTTCAGACTCTTTCTGACTCTATGCTTTTTCTGACTTTTTCTGACTCTACGCTTGTCAAAGTTATATAA